AGTCATTGCTATTGCAGTACCACATAAGGTACAAGTTAAAGAGAAATATCTAGAAAAAAATAATGAAATATCATGATTTATAGATAATGGAGGAAAAAATCAATGGTTGTACCAATAGTAATACCCAAAGTGCTGCCTAGATGCATGAAATACTGAATGTATTAGACCTGAATATTCTGATTTTGCAAAAAAACCCTACTCTACTTGGAACTGCCCATATACTTAAACATTACCTTAACAGCATTTAAGTCCTTGGACATGAACTGTAAAGTTTTTACCAGTTCCAGACTGTGAATTGAACTGAAATTAAGTAATAATAATAATGACTATGAACTTCCAAACTGCCTCAAACTTCATCCCCCCTTCCCCCAGGAAACAAGTTGAAATCCTCCAGGTCCATAACTACACTATCAGCCCAGCCACTGAATCCAACTGATCTTAGAACAGTGGTTCTCAACCTTTTTAATGCCGCGACCCCAACCGGTCGTAAGTCGAGGACTACTCAACTGGTGCAGCACTGTTTGCAGAATGGGACTTTTGGCGGGCTCGGCAGGGCAGGTAGAACAGCCTGGACAATTCCTATTAGCTTTTGAAAGCCAATAGAATTAGACTCTATTCAAGAGAGTCTATTCTATTGGCTTTCAAAAGCCAATAGAATAAAAGGGAGTAGCACAGCTAAGGAAAATGGGAAAAAAAATGGCGGACTGTGTTGTTTGGCGACCCCTGTGAAATGGTTGTTCGACCCCAAATGGGGTCCCGACCCACAGGTTGAGAACCACTGTCTTAGAATCAAGGAACAATCCTAAAATGATTCACAGAGCCCAACTTAACAAGCAAGGTCTGGTATCTAGTAATCTGTAAAATAGTATCTGTGAATATCAGTAGATTATATCGGTTGATCATAGCTATATTCCTATCCATATTTTGATGTATCTCTGAAAGATGAACCTTCCCCCCTCGGTGCCCAGCTGACTATATGTTAGTTCAGCTTTCTTATTTATCATAGATGGCAGTATAGTAATTTTTCTGAGGGAAACCATCTGCCTACTTGCTCTGTTTAATATATATATATTATCTTAATTTCTCAAGCGATTCAGGAAGCAGATTAAAGAATTAAAATATATTGAAGAAAAGTTGCCATTATTAGAAAACCTGCAGAGCCAATCAATTCTTTTTCTCAAGTTAAACTTTGTACACATGTGCATAAAAACCAGCTTTTGCTTGCCTATTATCTTCTATTGGCCATTTGGATGAGCAGATTGTTTCTCAGTGTGATATGAAAAAAGAGAAAGCTACTTACATGAGAGATGGAAAATGCTTCATGAAGGGATGTATATGTGCAAGAGAGAGAAATTAATTTATTAATTAATTAATAATTAATTAATTTCACAAACATGCTATGTATGTGTGTATGAATTCAGTAGCAGGCAACTGTTAGTTATCAGATAAACACTGAATCTTTTGTCCAGAAGGTAAAAATAGACATGCTACTTTATTATGTTTAGCTTATCATAATTAAATGATAATCCTAATTATACATGCCTTTAATTGGGAAGAAAGGAGAGAGGAATGGAAGAAAGTAAGCTTTTAATTTTCCTTCCTTCCTTCCTTCCTTCCTTCCTTCCTTCCTTCCTTCCTTCCTTCCTTCCTTCCTTCCTTCCTTCCTCCCTCCCTCCCTCCCTCCCTCCCTCCCTTCCTTCTTCCCTTCCTTAATCATTGGAAACAAACTCTGCCTTCTGGTTTTTTAATTCTTACACTTCTACAAATTGGTGTCATAAATCTGAAATAAATCTCTAGTTTTCCTTCTATTCAAATCTATAATTGAGGTAACCAGATCTGGATTTATTTTTATTCCATTCAAAAATTACTTTTGTTTAGATTAATTAGTCATTTTTTATTTATTATTTATCCATGTGATGGCATTTTATGGGGCTATTTTTCTTCTCATGCTTCACAAAATTTCTTTCTTGTGACGTTGTAGTGGTAACTGGACCATTTGTGCAAATTTAGGACTACGGTAATTGAAAGTATTTTTTTTTCCCCTGTGGAATCCCAATACAGAGAAATCATAATTTCATGCATGACTTACTTAACTTACATTTGTTTCAATAGCTAAATTTAGTATGACTAAATTTAGATTCCCCTTTTATATTTATGATGTTGGGCTATAAAATTTACTAGGAATGGGGAACTGAGGCCCCAGCTACATGTAACCTTAAGCCTTTATTAAGTCCCATGAGCAATTGCTGACTGTAATTGCTAAAAATCAATACTTTTGGCCAGGAAATAAATAAAAAATGGTTATTATGAGTTTTAAAGTAACTGCAGCAAGGAAACTCTTCCAATCCATACCCAAAGCTAGAAAATAGTAAAAAAAAATCATTGCCCTGGCCAAACGTATGATATAGTTCTACCTGTTTTCTGTCATTGTCACTGCCTCTCAAAACATGAAAATATAATCAATGGCTAGTAAAAAGCTTTCCTATCCTAAAATATACATAATGACCATGTTTAGCCAAACTTATATTTTTTTACCATCATTTGGTAATCAGTGTAGATGAGTAGGATCTGCACCAATTAGATAGCACTTCTCTGTTTGAATGCATTGCAAAGCATTAATACAATTAAGCAACATGTAGTCTCACAGATATCATAGCCACAAAAATATTGTACTCCCTTTAATTCAAAATACCACACTGTACTATACCAAGATGCGCCTCTCTCTCTCTCTCTCTCTCTCTCTCTCATTTGGACACCACCTATCTCACTCACAGTGACTCTAGGTGGCATACAGTTAAAACTATTTAATTCTAATTTTAAAAAAAGATTTTAAATCCACAAAAATTGTAAGGATGCACACGTATTGAAAATGAAAAGAAATTAAAGATTCACCAGTACTTTATAAGATGGAGGACTTATTCACTGTGGTGTTATTTGGCTTTATTTTAGCCTCATTTGTAAGAACCATAAGCTCAGAGTTATAATTATAATGTATAGCCAGTTTTGTTGAATCAACAAGTCCAAAACTTTAATTACATCAATGCTAAAAATAATTAATTCCATTCTGAACAGATTTTAATTCTATTTACCACTTTAAACAAATCTGGAAGAATATGCAACAATATACATATAAGATAGAAATACTACTATAGACTACTAAACCACTCTGGCTATTTTGCAAAAAATAAGGCCTTCTATTAGAAGTTATTTCACAGCAATTTTTTCTTTCTGATAAGGAATATACTTTGCATTATTTTCATCTACTGAAATTAGATGGCTACATATAAAAACATATTGACCACAGTACCACAACTGAAAACATTTTACTTTTGTTAAAACATGATATTCCTTAATTCTCAGGCCTGCTCAGCAAATAACTTTTACATAGGAGGCAAATGCCACAAAAATGACTCAGATATGTTACATGTAAAAACTTACCTCCCTTCAAAATGGCAGCATTCTTCATAAAAAGAAAAATATGGATTAATCTTATACATGAAGAGTGGGCTTATATTTCAAGTATTGGCCTTAAAAAGCCAAAAAATACCAACCATGCTCAGGAAAAAAAAAACCAGCACAAAACATACACAAGAAATTTGGGAGAAATGTTGAAAATTTGAATTCTGTATTTGATTCTTCCACAACAAATTCTAACAACAGTGTTGTTCTTTCTCTAGAATAATTTTCTGATAGGAAGCGAAGATATGATTAGGTAGATAAAAACATAACATTGTTAGTTGCTCATTATCATACATTTAGACATAGATACACATAGAGATCTAATCTTAATAGATCTGACTGTATTTTTGTTTAAAAACGTACAAATGATCTGTTATTCCTTCTGAAACAATAAATAATAACAGCCTTTAAAGAAAGTATATGTAGGAACAAAACATATTGATTTTATTCATTTAAAAAGTGGGAACATACTACATTATAATAACAGGAAAGAAAGTAAGATGCAAATAGAACCAAACTTTATAAACAAGAATATCCAATTATAATATACTTTACTGTACAGCTATGATTAAAAATAGTACCAATCACAATATATTACTGGAAAGATCATAGAATTTCTTCACTGTATGCCTTAAATGCGTTGGAAGGCTACAATTTTCATTGCCGTTTAATTCCATCCTTTTCCTTTATATTTATTTGAATATAGGTGCAAGTGATACCACGTTAGCACCTGATAAAACAGGGCCTAATTTACAAAAATAGTCTTTCAATGCTTCAAATGCAAGAAGTCTTCTAGCATTTCTGCAATGGAATGATGATACCAAAACATTTTTTTCCTTCCTTGCATAGTTCTTTGAATCAAAGCCAGTGAATTTTGTTCTTTGATAAGAACCTTTTTGTCTTTTAAAAAACTTGAAACCAAAAATTACTGAATATCTTTCAGAATATTAGTACAAATGAACAGGAAGTTTAGAAGAGGATATTCTAAACTGGGTCACTATCAAGGGTGTTGATGGATGTGTGTGTCAAAATCAATCAAGACAGGAGCCACCACCAAGCAAGCAAAACCCTGTAACTTTTATTTTAATGTTATGGTAACCATAGTGTTTTTTTGATAACCTCCCTCCTGGATATCCAGGTCTAATTACTTAATTAATATTAATTTGTATCAATACAAAAAAGTTATAAAATGCTATGTAATCTTGGAATTGATGGACCCTTATTTGTAGGCCGTTTCTAATCCTTGTCAGAATTCCCTGCCAAAATACTGCAATTTTTTTTCTGAATTAGAAGCAAAACTAATAAACTCAACAGACCTATTTTATCTATTAGTTTTTTTAAAAATCCACAACCCCCCTCCAAATTTAAAAGTAACTATCTGAGGAGTTATGTTTGGAAGAAACTAGATTTATGCAACTGCAGAATTATAGACCTTAGTAAAATTGTTTATATTCCTGTCCCATTTGAAATGTATTACAAGTCCTTTAAGCAGACTTTATAAAAATGTATATATATTTCCATTTATACACAGAATAGCTTACCTATTAATGTAACTGAGAGCAACATATGTGGGTTGTTGTAATTCTTGTTTTTCTAATACACGTGGGTCCGTATCTGGAATTCAAAATATACAAACGGATTAGGGTTTGCTGACTTACATCATACAGATTAAGCACACTTGAAACCATTTTTCTCAAATCACATGCAGTGCAGACAAAGTCAAAAATGCGTTTCACATCTATAGGAGATATCCTATATACTTAAATAACTTTCATTAGCAATAAAAGGGAGTGTGTGGAAAAAGGGTCAAGAATACAAAATATAATGGTGACTTTTTTTATTAGCAGATATTACTAAAAGAGATTTGTTTATTACAATGTTACACCAGACAAAAGCTTATTAAGGATTATTTAAAATGTTTTACTCTTTTTTAAAATATATTTTATTATTTTTTACAACAATCTTTAGTGTTAATAAACAATGTGTTGTCTGTGTTCATATATTTAAAAACAATCAATAATAATTAATTTCTATAATTAATCAATATGTTAGTTGATAATATATTTCCTTGATCCTTTCTTCTTCCAGTAATATTCTCCCTTTGTCTACATTAAGCAAATATAATTTTTAATACTTTCAATACATACATAATGGGTATAAACATTTCTCTAGTATTTATACATATAACAATAACATCTTTTCTAATAAGCTTATGTTTCAATTGTGTTTATAGAGGTCATCTTATTAAATAATTATATTCCTGTTTTCAAGATTCTTATTTAAGCTTAATTTCCCCTCAGTATTAAAACTACTCTTATCAGTCATAATTTTCTCAAAATTCATTACCTTTGAATATCTAAACTTTTCATTCAAATACACTGTCTCAATATTTTTACATTTCATATATTATAAAAATATTATACTACTTATATATCTTATCCCTCTTACTATAGCGTCCCTTTGTGTCCAAACTTTGTCTATTCTATGTTCAAACAAGTATTTAATCATATAATACACCATCTAGCAATCTTTCTATAGGACCTCTTTACTATTGTTGTTGTTGCTGTTAGTTGCGAAGTTGTGTCTGACCCATCGTGACCCCATGGACAATGTTCCTCCAAGCCTTCCTGTCCTCTACCATCTGCTTCAGTGACTCCATCCAGGTCCCTCATTTTCTATCGTCCCCTTCTTCTATTGCCCTCAATCTTTCCCAGCATTAGGCTCTTCTCCAGTAAGTCCTTCTTTCTCATTAGGTGGCCAAAGTACGTGAGTTTCAGCTTCAGGATCTGGCCTTCTAAAGAGCAGTCAGGGTTGATCTCCTCTAGGACTGACTGGTTTGATCGCCTTGCAGTCCAGGGGACTCACAGGAGTCTTCTCCAGCACCATAGTTCAAAGGCCTCAATTCTTTTGTGCTCAGCCTTTCTCCAACTTTCACAGCCATACTTTGCAACTGGGAAAACCATGGCCTTGACTATACTTTTGTGGGCAGGGTGAAGTTTCTCCTTTTTAGTATGCTGTCTAGATTTGCCATAGCTTTCCTCCCCAGGAGCAAGCATCTTTTAATTTCTTGGCTGCAGTCCCCATCTGGGTGATCTTGGAGCCAAGAAAGATAAAATCTGTCACTGCCTCCATTTCTTCCCCATCTATTTGCCAGGAATTGAGAAGACCAGATGCTATGATCTTGGTTTTCTTAATGTTGAGTTTCAAGCCAACTTTTGCACTCTCCTTCTTCACCCATATCAAGAGGCTCTTTAGTTCCTCTTAAGTTCCTCCTCTTCCTTTCTGCCATTAGAGTGATATCATCTGCATATCTTAGATTGTTGATATTTCTCCCAGCAATCTTAATTCCAACTTTTGATTCATCTAGCCCTGCCTTTCTCATGATGTGCTCTGCATATAAGTTATATAGGCAGGGCAACAAAATACAACCCTTGCCAGACACCTTTCCCAATTTTGAATCAATCAGTGGTTCTGTGTCCAGTTCTCACTGTTGCTTCTTGACCTGCATATAGGTTTCTCAAGAGACAAATAAGATGGTCTGGTACTTGCCATCTCTTTAAGAACTTGCCACAATTTGTTGTGATCCACACAATCAAAGGCTTTTGCATAGTCAATGAAGCAGAAGTAGATGTTTTTCTGGAACTCCCTAGCTTTCGCCATGATCCAGCATATGTTGGCAATTTGATCTGTAGTTCTTCTGCCTCTACGAAATCCTGCCTGTACTTCTGGAAGTTCTAGATCCACATACTGTGAAGTCTAGCATAATTTTACTAGCATGTGAAATGAGTGCAATAGTGTGGTAGTTTGAACATTCTTTGGCATTGCCTTTCTTTGGAATTGGAATGTAAACTGACCTTTTCCAATCCTGTGGCCACTGTTGAGTTTTCCAAATTTGCTGGCAAATTGAGTGTAGCACTTTTACTGCATCATCGTTTAAGATTTTGAATAGTTAGGCTGGAATACTGTCATCTCCACTAGCTTTGTTGTTGCTCAGCTTTCCTAAGGCCCATTTCACTTCACATTCTAGGATGTCTGGCTCAGAGTCAGTGACCATCCCATTGTGGTTATCAGGGACGCTAAGCTCATTTTTGTATAGTTCTTCTGCGTAATTTTGCCACCTCTTCTTAATCTCTTCTGCCTCTGTTAAGTCCCTGCCATTTTGGTTCTTTATCATGCCCATTTTTGCATGAAATGTTCCCTTCATATCTCCAATTTTCTTGAAGAGATCTCTGATTCTCCCTATTCTATTGTTTTCTCCTTTTTTTGCACTGTTCATTTAAGAGGGCATTCTTATCTCTTCTAGCTATTCTCTGGAATTCTGCATTCAATTGGGTGTATCTTTCTCTTTCTCCCTTGCCTTTTGCTTTCCTTCTTTCCTCAGCTATTTGCAAAGCTTCCTCAGATGCTTTCTTGCATTTCTTTTTCTTTGGGATAGTTTTAGTTGCTATCTCTTGTACAATGTTGTGAACCTCCATCCATAGTTCTTCAGGCACTCTATCTATCAGATCTTTCTCTTTCTCCCTTGCCTTTCTCTACTTTCATGAGCTTCTTGTTGCAAAATTTAGGTTTAAATTGAGGAAAGTAGAGAAAAACACTAGGCTACTCAGGTATGAACTAAATCATATCCCTGATGAATATACAGTCAGTAAAAACAAGACCAGGAGCTGACTGTATAGAGCTTCTCCATCTTTGGCTGCAGAGCACATGGTCAATCTGATTTCTGTATTGACCATCTGGTGATCTCCATGTGTAGAGCTGTCTCTTGGGTTGTTGGAAAAGAATGTTTGCTATGATCATCGTATTCTCTTGAATTTTATCATCCTGTGCCCTGCTTCATTTTGTACTCCAAGGCCAAACTTGCCTGTTATTCCAGTTATCTTTTGGCTTCCTACTTTAGCATTCCAATCCCCCATGATGATAAGGACATCATTTTTTGGTGTTGATTCTATAAGGTGCTGTAGGGCTTCATAGAACTGGTCAATTTCATACTCTTCAGCACCAGTGGTTGGAGCTTAGACTTGGACTACTGTGATATTGAATGGTTTGCTTTGGATTCACACTGAAATCATTCTGTCATTTTGGGATTGCATCCCAGTATTGCTTTTCCTACTCTTTTCTTGACTATGACGGCTACTCCATTTCTTCTGAGGGATTCTTGCCCACAGTAGTATACCTGATGGTCCTCTGAATTATATTCACCTATTCCTGTCCATTTTAGTTCGCTGATTCCTAAGATGTCGATGTTCAATCTTGTCATCTCTTGTTTGACCATGTCCAGTTTGCCTTGATTCATGGATCTCACGTTCCAGTTTCCTATGGAGAAAAGATCTTTACAGCATCAGACTTTCCTTTCACCACCAGATGCATCCACAGCTAAGCGTCCATTTGGCTTTGGCCCAGTCGCTTCACTCTTCTGACGCTACTAGTACTAGCCCTCTGCTCTTCCCCAGTAGCACCTTCTGACCTGAGGGGCTCATCTTCCAGCGTCATATCTTTTTGCCTTTTGGTACTGTCAGGTTAGAGGGCTTCCCCCAGATTGAACGGGATATAATCCATGGGACACCCCTTTTTCTTTGTCACCTCTCCGGGGCGATTTTAGACCCACTTAGAATCCCCTGGCAGGGCGAAATTAGCTGTGGGGTGTGGAGCTCTGGAATCCCTTGGCTGAGTGTTACAGTACAGAACTGGAAGCCCTAAGATGTTTTACTCTGAATTTGGCACTATTGCTTATGATGGTGTTCAGAATTTGCAATAGTGCATTACTTCTAAGAAAAAATTAAATTAATAATATGATTTTTTATTACAAACATGCAACATAAGTTGCAATAATTATGTGATGTAAAATAATCATAATAAAATAAAGCTACAAATTCTTCTCCCAACTCCCGCTTCTTTTTATTTTCTTCTTCTTTCCGCCCTTTCCCTACCTCTCTCATTGCAAATTCCTCATTTCCCTCTGCTTTCCTTGTATCACCCCCATTATCCCAGGATAATGCATAGCTCAAATATGGTACAGTTCTGCTACAATAGCCTTTTGATCTTATCATCTAGGAAGCAGGAGATGAGAAACCACAGCTATTCCATCGCAATCAAACATTTATCGTCTTAAGTATGGAATTCTTAACAGCTTTACTTTACAAATACTTTTTTCTCTGGTTTAAACACATATCTTACTTGCTCAAAATGTCCCCATGAATCAACTGCTTCAGATTTCCTGCCCCTCAACCCCAAACTTTATAAAGATTTCTCCCTTTTTAATGTTCAGGGTCCTACTTTCCTACAAAGCAGGCACCCAATGATCATTGAATAAAGTTTGGTCATTTTTCCCTCAGCAGTGAGCTTCTTTCTTTGGATGAAGATTCCATGACAATTACATTTCAAGTGTCATAAGTTTGCAAGCTGCAGAAAAAAACATATAATTTTTAATAATGGATAGAAAAAGCACACTATTGTCAATATTTATAGGATTATTAAAAATATCTATATGGCCAAAACAAACAAGCCAAAAAATGAATAAAGGTACCATAATATTTCAATATATTATAAATGGTGTCTCTATAGTATAGAAAAATTGCACATCTGATTCTGCTAAAAATTTTTAGTTTGGTTGTCTA